ATATTTCATTTTAAATATAACAATAAATTAGCTTTAAAAAAAGCAAGAGAAAGCAAGAGGGAAAATCTTAGTGGTTCAGTACAATAAAAACACAGATCTTATGTAGTGATCGTCTTACCCTAGACTGCATAAAATCGATTGCAAACTTGGCTTCCTCGTTCTTTTCGTATTGATGCATCGTTAAATTGATCTTCTCAGCTAGAAGATCCTTGATACTATCCTGCAGGGCATATGCAGCAATGGCGGCGGCAAGTTCCAGTAGCAATACAAATGACAGTAAGACAGCAAACTAAAAAAAAAGTATACATAAACGTAATATATATGTTGGAGAGGATTAAGAGAGAATATTTGAAGTAAAGTAAAAAATACAAGATATTCGATTGTCACTTACCACAAGAACCATGCAAGTGCTTTCCCTGAGTGCACCACAACATCCCATAAAGGCAATTATGAAGATAAGTATTCCAACCACAATCAAAAGTGTGGCTGGTGAGAAATAACTCGGATCCAGAAAATGCGAGAAGTTTTCATAAACAGCATAGATCGTCGTACCAACCGATATTATCATCACTCCTGTCAACTGCGATAATATAATAATGATGAAAGCAATGTAACAATCTTATTATGTGATTTAATTAACTGTTTTCATTACATTAGTTTTTATGAAAAATTTTTGTTTCTTTGCAATATATCATAAACAGTTATTGGTTGCACAATACTAAAACTTATCTATTTAGTTTACCTACTAATCATTTTCTCAGCAAAAATTATAGATTTAATATTTTTATATTTTTTATATCTTAATTATCTAAATGTCATTTAAGAAATGCAATTTTTATCTCATTTAAAAGCCAGAGATATATTAACAAATTAAAGATCATATTAAAATTCCTTTATTAATATTGAATGAATTAAGACTAATTATTTTATTAGCATCTATAGAAATTTATCTTGAAATGTTTTCTTTCTGAATTTCTTGGAAGAGAATTTTATGTATGCATATGTTTATAAGAATCTCTCCCTCATTTCTATATAGTTATTGCAATCCAGTGCAAGTATTACTTCCACTTATAGCGACGATTGAAATATAGAGCATGATGTACGACTTGTAAACGTATAATATACCGTAACACATATTCAATGCACATAGTCTTCTAGGTTTCGATCATTTCCGTATAATACGCGGTTTCCCTGACATTAGTTATATAATACATGCGTCCTCACTTGAACGTAAACTTTTTAGACTAGAAAGGAGGTATGACACTTTTGTGAAGTATATCGCTATGTACACGTCGCCATCGCTCTCTATTTGTTCTACAAAGCAAACTATGTAATTCCCTACGATAAGCTGCTCTTTTTATGATTTCTATACGTCTACCTAAGTCCTATCGTCTCATTGAAAATCCAAAATAAAATGTGAAATTATTTCAAGGACATTTCAACAAGTTGTCGAGAATAGATAAGATTCATAAATAAGACTTTTAATTTTAAATTTAATTTAAATTTAATTTTAAATTAATTAAATAAACTGTGGATAATTATAGACGATCCATTAAGAGCTGATGCGTATCACAAATTTATTTTTACTCTTGTCGGCAATAACAAGATCAAAGGTCAAACATGATCTTGTTTGATTTTGGAATAATCTAATCATTACACCGATCTATGCAACTTTCAAAATTTTCATTTCACACTCATGTAAGTCAGTTTTGTTAAAATCACATGACGATATTCCGGCATCATATTGATTGCGAAGATTGTAAATTTATCTCTGCTGATAAGAGAGCGATCACAAAGTTTCCTAGGTAGGCACAATATAACGTAAGATATTTGAAACGCTTTTCTGATAATATATTTTGTCTACTTGAAAGCAATCAAAAGATTTTCATATCGTCAATTTCTCGTTAAATATAAGATTTCAGATATCAAGGTTGAAACAAAGTCTTGCTCGACAGTTACTGTCTTTTCTAGGCGTGTTTTCTTTTATGTGCAACAAGAAGCTAGAAATTTGCATAAGCGCTTAGGAATAATTTATAAGCGTTTCTATATGCTAGACAATACATCTCTACACATATTTAGCATCAAAATTGATCGTCTATATTTTCGTTTGTCATGATTTTAAGCTATTTGTCCGCATATTTGGTATCGATAAGAATACGAATGGAAGAAACGCTGTTACTATTATCATTCCCTTATTCAATTAAGGAATATACATGTTAATCGAGTTGCGCAGCTCTACAGGTTCGTCCATCCCTAATAATTCAGCAGTGCATAGCCTTGTGTCTATGTGATATCGACCGCAGTTCGAAAGTGCATTCTCTCTTAACAACGAAACTCGAACTTCGTGGCCCACATCGCTTTCTTTGTAAGCCAACGGAACAAAGGACGTAATAAAAGATATCAACATCGGCCGGAGAAACTTCGCCCCCTTCGCCCTATTGTTGTTCGCCTTATTTCACTCGAATGGCACCGTTTCCCTCTTTTAAATCTTTTTTTTTTTTTATCACCACGGATAGCGTAAGTGACCCGATATGTTATCTCAAATGGATTTTTTAATTCTGAAAATCGATTTAATCGATATGACTAGGTTCTAATATCATAATTCCAAATAATGTAATTATTATTAAACTATATCTTTTTATAAATTTCATAATTTACGATAATATTGAATTCCGAGATTGTTGAACATGGAGAAACGTAGACATTTGCCACGTACGCGTACGCGAAAAATAAATATCTAATGAGTCACTTTTTCTTGCAATAAATTGCCATTTATGTTATCGGAACGTCCGCTAACAGCTGTATCGATGACAAATATCTGAGAAATAGATAGATAACTAAGAAATCGGCAATATTGTATTCAAATTCGCAAGTCTATATATATATATATATATATATATATATTATGAATCAAATACATAGATATTACACGAACGCGCGTAAAAAATGTTCTTCATGAAAATTTTCTTATTTCGAGGGATCCAACTTTCGACCTTTCGAAAAGCGGCTCATAGCCAATCAGAAGTTTATAAGTCCACTTTTAGAGGTCATTTTTATTTTTTATAAAAGAGATTTTTTAAAACATGGGCCAAATATACACGCGACTCTTTCGCTATGTCGCAGGCGGATTGTTAATAATTGGCAGCACAGAGCTTCTTTTTGTAATTCAAACATCCCCAATATGGTCGTGCAATAGCAATCAATAATTATATAGGGATGTGTTGCATATATGATATGGTCTAGTGAGGACACCTGGCCTCTCTCTGCGATGCGCAATTCAATCGTCTCTGTGTGTCGCAACGGATATTTTCCAAGGAGTTCCCTCGGTATCGTCGCGATTTGTCGCAAAGTCATTGGCAAGGACTCGACACATATTTGAAAAAAAGTCATAATGCACGAACGTTATCTCATCCTCCAAAAATATCTCTTCCGATACGACGTTCGCGCGATAACGCAAAAGGCTTCGTAGAGCAAATTCGCGACCGTTTCGTTTTTCGAAATCTTTAGCGATACTCCAAATTACAGAAAATCTACGAAACGTTCTTCCTTTCGTTTCTTCGTCGTCGTGTAGAATAAACAAAGACAGTCGTCGAAAACCGTGAAGATCTTTTCGCGATCATTCCCTCGATTGACGCGCGTCGAAGGGATTTCTCACGATGGAGATCTGTGCGAGCGGTATGAAACAATGATGTTTTGCATCACGGTACAGACCACGAAGAGAGAGTTGACCGCGCAGAGCAGGTACTTGATGCAGCGGAGGCCGACGTCTAGATGCGTGGCCGCCATTTTGCCTCGCGTTGGCTCCTCCCGGGCGCAGATGGTAGTTTCACGAGCGACTTTGCGCGCACCTTCGCACTTCCAGCTAGCACACCGATTGCCGATGCCAATGCTGAGCGTCGGCTTGCAGCGTTATCTACTGGCCGATAACGAGCCACGAAAACGTACGATCGCGCATGGCGACGTCTTCGCGCGCGATACCAGCACGAACGATTTGGGTTTGTTAGAACATGCAATCTAAACAAGAGCAGAGAGAGAGAGAAAAAGAGAGAAAGAGTAGGAGGAATAAGGAAGTCGCGATAGCACAAAGGAAAACATGACAAAGCGATAAACTATAGAATTACACATCGCGCGCGAGTCGGCCGCGTTTATTGGTGCCAATGAAGTATTCGCTACAAGGTTATATTTATTTTATATATATATATATATTTTATATATATATATATATATATATAATAAATATA